CCTGGGCGACAGAGCAAGACCCTGTCTCAAAACAAACAAAACAAAAGCTACCTCCAGTACCCCATCTTTGTAAAAATATCCATTCATCCTTTTAACTATGTATGTAGAATTGTGGAATGCTAGTCACTGAACAATGGCATTACTTGTAGTGGAAATCAGAGCGATAGTTTTATCTTGTAAATATCATGTATGGTTTGAATTTTTATAAATTACTTTTTTTAAAAAACCTTGAACAATAGCTAACTGTGTTGGTAATGACCATAAGAACAAATATTTCCTATTTTGATACTTTTTAAAGTAAAAAATTTTCTGTGAACCATGTGGACTATATTTATTTAAATAAGACTAGAAAGGTATTTCAGAGACTTTAATGGCAACAAGCATGGTTTCCCAAGAGAAGGCAGGTGGACAACTGAATTTAGACAGTCTCAAAATACTTCCTAAGAAACCATGTAAATTGAGGATCAAAGCAATTGAGGATGGAATGATATTAAATTTAGATCTATACGCTAAAGCGTCTTAACGATTTTCTTGCTGAACTTTTTTTTTTCACTCCTAATGGTTTCTCCTCAATCTATACCCTTTCAGAGGTTGATGGTATCCCAGATCCTCCATTAGGCCTAGAAATATGTCAACTACAGAGTAATAAATGGGTGTTAAACTGAAATCACTTACTTAGACACGTTCTGGGCCTTCTCAATAAATTGCATCACCTAAAAGAAAAAGATGTCAATGACAATAAATTCCGATTTCAGCACAAAATCACAGGGCCCTCTCCAGGGTGGCATACCTCACAGGCACTATTATCTACTGAATCCCTCAATCACCTACTGAATATTCGCAATCTTAGGACAACAAGGATAAACAGGCTGAACTAAGGCAGCACAGCCACATCAGCAGCACTGCAATACCACCCTGGGGCACAACCCAAGGACCTGAGAAGCTGAAGACTTTGATCTGTCAATGTCAAGTTGTATCTCTGGCCAAAATGTTAACAGCCATGGGCCGATGTGGTGGCTCATGCCCATAAGGCCGAGGCAAGTGGATCACGAGGTCAGGAAATAGAGACCATCCTGGCTAACAGGGCAAAACCCCATCTCTATTAAAAATACAAAAAATTGGCCGGGCGCAGCGGCTCAAGCCTGTAATCCCAGCACTTTGGGAGGCCGAGGCAGGTGGATCATGAGGTCAAGAGATCGAGACCATCCTGGTCAACATGGTGAAACCCCATCTCTACCAAAAAATACAAAAAATTAGCTGGGCATGGTGGCGTGTGCCTGTAATCCCAGCTACTCAGGAGGCTGAGGCAGGAGAATTGCCTGAACCCAGGAGGCAGAGGTTGTGGTGAGCCGAGATCGCGCCATTGCACTCCAGCCTGGGTAACGAGCAAAACTCCGTCTCAAAAAAAAAAAAAAAAATTAGCCAGGCGTAGTGATGCCTGCCTGTAGGCCCAGCTACTCAGGAGGCTGAGGCAGGACAATCACTTGAACCCAGAGGTGGAGGTTGCAGTGAACCAAGACTGCACCACTGTACTCCAGACTGGGCAACAGAGTGCAAAAAAAAGAAAATTTTAACAGCCTGTGTCATGGCATGACATCAGAGTAAAAAAACTCAATGATTATAAAACACTCTTATGGAAGTAGGTGATAAAGAAAACCTTAAGAATGACAAACATTTATCACAAGTAAAATACCCCATTATCTTTCCATTCCATGACTGCTAGTCCATCCCACTCCCAGATAGTCCCATCTCAGCTTCAGGGTACTATACAACAAGCAAAGAACAAGCCAAGAAAATAACCCAGGTCTTTTGGATTCTTATCACCTATCACAAATATAAAATGTGAAGAGTCTGACAATACTGATCATCTTCTCATAGTCTACTTCTCTGTCTGACAAAATGCCTACTCATTTTCTATATTTATGGTCAGGTGTGCTACTCTTCTTTACCAATGTGATCAAGCTAAGGCATTTAAGAGTCACAGACTTTTACATAGCCCTATTAATATATTAAAGACAGGCATACCTGATCAAATCTGGTAGCAAAGAGATTGAGTGAGGTCACTATGCCACCGTTCGGCCCAAGTCCATATCTAGACACCAAGTTGAGGAATGAAATTGCTTACATGTTAGTTTATAAAGTTCATACCTAGGCTATCACTCACACAAATGGCATTATGGAATTAGTGTTCCATTAATGGATGCTGGCAATCTAATCCTTGACTACCACACAACCCTAACCACAGGGAAACATTCACTATCAAGGTCTGGCTCACTCATTTAAGATTTTAGGAATGGCCAGGCAAAAAGAAGAAAGCAAAGTGGCCAAATAGTAATACAGGTGCATCAGGGAGTGACAGTACACTAGCATTGGCCATTAAGGCCACCTATATAATACCTCTGGCCCTGATCCTCATAAATAAATCAAGATTATAATTAGTCTTCCTACTTAGACTTGCCTACAGAGAGAGTACATATTTCACACAGCAATTTACTAAGAATTAATCCAACTAACCCCAGTCATTTCCAAGTTTCCCAGTCTAAAGAGGTGGTGACCAACAGATGATCCTCCAAGGCAATACTACCTTATGGGACCCAGGTAGCTATCAGTTATCATATCGTACTCTCTGCTCTTTAATTACAACTGCCTGCCATCTGGGGAGATGGTAAGAAAACTAAAATCTGAAGCTGAAATAGTATTTCTGATCACCCACCTCTCCCACAGTCAGCTTCCATCCTCTTTTGCTTGTATATTTTACAAGGAAAAGGCAAAAACACTTTTTCGAAGCCACAAAATACACAGACAAAAAGCCAGGAAGGAGTCAACACCAAAGTAGATGTGGAAAAGGATACTGTTTCATGACTTCTTTGTACTTCACAGTGTCACGAATATCTGAGAAGAAAAAGAATTAACTGGAATGTAATACGTATACACTCCCTACTAGCAAGAAAGTAAAACAGGTTTCTAGCCTTCTCTTGTAACCATTCTCTTCTACCACCTTCTCCACTTTCAAACTGGTTTCCTTCCTTACAAAGAATAAATGCCAAGTAATTCACTAAGAATGTGAAGGGATAAAAAACGAAAAAAAAAAAAAAAAATGTTAGGGCTAACTCTAAAGTTATGGTAGAGAGTTTTGTCTCCACAAAGTGAAAAGTTTTATACAACTTTAACATGCCTAGAAAAAGGAAGGCAAAAATCAAAGGGGAAAAAAAAAAATCTTACTAATTGCCTACTACTGACAAGGGCAACACATAAGCAATGCAGACGTGACTTTTAAAAAAGAATTAGGCTGGGCACAGTGGCTCACACCTGTAATCCCAGCACTCTTCGTGGCCAAGGCAGGAGGATCACTTGAGCCCAGGAGTTCAAGAACAGCCTGGGAAACATGAAAAGACTTGTCTCTCCAAACAAAACAAAACTAGCCCAGCATGGTGGCAGGAGGCTGAGTGGGAGGATCACTTGAGCCTGGGATGTTGAGGCTGCAGTGAGCTGTGAATCATGCCACTGCACTCTGGCTTGGGAGACAGAAACTGTCTCAAAAAAAAAAAAAAAGAAAAAGAAAGACGCCTAAGATGTTTAGGAACTCAAGTAAATCCAAAGGACATGAAAGTAGATAGTTTAGAAAAAAAAAAAAAAAAACATGAAGGCCGGGTGCGGTGGCTCAAGCCTGTAATCCCAGCACTTTGGAAGGCCGAGGCGGGTGGATCACGAGGTCAAGAGATCGAGACCATCCTGGTCAACATGGTGAAACACTGTCTCTACTAAAAATACAAAAAATTAGCTGGGCATGGTGGCGCATGCCTGTAATCCCAGCTACTCGGGAGGCTGAGGCAGGAGAATTGCCTGAACCCAGGAGGCGGAGGTTGCGTGAGCCAAGATGGCGCCATTGCACTCCAGCCTGGGTAACAAGAGTGAAACTCCGTCTCAAAAAAAAAAAACCACATGAAAAAAGAAGGCACTGAAGACTGGCAGGCTTGAGTCTTTCCACTCTCTTTAAAGCACTTCACACAAGTTATGTTACCAGTTTACTCACCAATATTGGCAGGAAAGGGAACTTCATGTACTGCTGGATCCAGGTTGATCACATAAGGTGGAGTGCCTTCGGTATGCAGGTGTCCTGTGAGCCTCTGCAGAGATGGGGAGAGGGTTGGAAGAAGACAAAGAGGGGGCAGGAAAAAACTTCCATTCCTTTACCACCCATGCCTTAAGAGTTTTGCACTTAAGATTTTCTTCTACCTGAAATATCCACCCACTATGTCCACCTCTAAGCTGCAGCTTCTAGTTCAAATGCTACCCTTTTTCATCACCCATCTAACAAAGCTTCCCCTACTCATAGTCACTTGTTTACTTGTTTTGATTTTTCGTATGTGGGTTTTCTCCATCTCCGCCATTAAATATTTAGTCCCATAAATAAATCTTGTCAACCTCATTTTGACTATATCCCCAATGAATGAAACATGACAGGCGTGCAAAAAATAATTCTTTGGCAAATCTTCACCAAAAACCTGTGTGCTAGCACTGTATTAATCTCTAAAGTTACTTGTAAGCCCCTGCCTTCGAGAAACTGGCAATTTTACCAGCAAGACAATTCCTGTACAACGCGGTAACCTGGACAGAGTATGCACTGAAGGTGCCCTAGAAGAAAGCCTTAATTAACCTGGCTAGGGCCCGAGGAGGCTTTGCCGGGGAAAGAACTAAAGTTGATGGGAAGTCCGCGAAAGCCACGCGCCGGTACCCTCCAACTCCTCGGAGACCGCCCTAGCTTTCTTCCTGGCCTTCCGCCTGCCGGAGGCAACCTTTCCCGCTTCCCTACTACACCCACGCTGTGTACATCACCTGTACAAAGGTGGTTTTCCCGGATCCCGCCATTCCCAACACCAACAGACACACTGGGGGCCGCGGACCCCCAGAAGCCTGGGGCTCAGCTGCAGCTGCGGGCGCCGCCATCTTCCTCCTCGCCCCGCCCACCCGACCATAGAGACACTGCGTGGCTAGAGGAACTTCCGCGACGTTCTGGGCTGCGAATGAAGACAGAACCGAGGCGTCAGAAAGGAGCGGGCGAATGGGCGCGGCGGTGTCAGCGGCATGTTCTTAGCGTCCGGCAGGGCTAAGGGGCCAACTAGTGACAGAGGAGAGGAAGTGGTGTCGCTGAGCAAACGAGGGGAAGGCTGTAGGGAGCTAGGAAAAGGGCGCTGACCTCCATAGCCTAGGAGGGGTATACCCTTGTCCCCAGGAGGAGGGCAAGAAGAGATGGGGTCCCAAGGGCAGGGCTCACACAGCAGGAAAACGAGGAGAGTGCCTCTCACGTCGTACCAGCTAAGAGCGGGGGCCGGAACCACTGGAGGACCAACTGCTGGGGTTTATTCGGTAGCCAAGGAGGTTAAACCTTTGAGGGCCGGACCAGCCGGGACTGGAGCAGGGTGCGGCCTCCAGGGTTACTGGGCAGCGCCGAGACCCTTTGAGCACCGCACGGATAAACCACGGGAACTTCCCGCACTTGCACATTGTTCCCGCGATTCGCAGGCACAAGTTCCTGATGCTAGCGCTCACTTCAAAGCAGTCGTCCTCAGTGAACTACACAGTTGCCATGACCTTAAGGATGAAGGCTTGGATTCCAGGTACGAGTAGGTACTGGAGAGGAGCTTCCTTCTCACTGAAGGGTTCTCACAAACTCAGGAAAGATGATGAAAGAGCCTAGAAAATTATTTCTACTCCCGACCTCCCAATCTGTTTCTGTGGCCCTTTGTAGCTGCTAACAGCGTTAAGTCATAAGGTCTGGGTTTCATATACAGGCACTGCCACTTGCTAGTGGTGTGAGTCATGGGCAAGTCACTTAAACTCTCTGAACCTGTTTTTTCCTTTTTAAAAACTCAGTTAATATCTTCCAGGGTTGTAGTGAACGCACGTTGTAAATGATGAGCGACATCCTTCATCCTTTACCACTAACTGTATTCCTCACACCTTGCATAATGTACGGAACATAATGGGTGCTCAGAAATCTTTTCTTGTATGAATAAAGGACAGTTGTGCACTTATTTCCTAATTAAGAACTGAGAGAGGAATGTCTCATTTGTTCTTTCAGATTTGCTAAGGGCCCCAGAAGGTCCTTTACACCATATCTTACTGTAATAAACAATCTTTTAAAGCAAGAGAAGTTAACAAAGGTGGAGACACGCCTTAAAGAAAAGACAATGGCGAAAATGTCCGATCTGAACAAGCACATAAAACAAGCTCAAATCCAGCGGGACCAGCAGCTGGAAGACTGCAGGCAGATATACCATGAAAAGTTACTTGTCCAGGCTGAAAACAGATTATTTCTGGAATACCTGACTGACAAAACTGAGGAGTACAGAAAGCAACCCGAGAAGGTATGGAACAGCTATTTACAAAAAAATGAAGAAATTGAACGACGAAGACAACAATCAGCCTACAGATATGCAGAGCAAATGTCAGTGCTTAAAACAGAACTCTTGGAAAAGGAAAAGATCCAATCCAGTTTGAAGCAGAAGTTGCAGGCAATGAAGGACATTGCTATGTTAAAGGAAAAGCAGGAGAAAGAAATACAAACGTTACAGGAGGAGAAAAAGAAAGTCCAAGCTGAGACAGAGGCAAAGAAACGGGAAGTACAGGCCCAGCTCCTCCAGGAGAAAAGATTACTGGAGAAACGACTGAGGGATACAAGCAAGAGGCTACTGGGAAAGAGAAAAAGAAGAGAGCTTAATATGAAGGCCGGGGCCTTGGAGTTGACAGCAAAGCAGTCTCTTTTTGAATACGCCTGTGGCATCAAAAGAGAGAACCAGCAGTCACGGAAGGAATTACTGCAGCTAACTGAGCAATCCCAGAAACTAACGGCCACTGAAAGCCACTTAAAAAACCGGAAGCAGCAGCTGCAGCAGGAACAGTGTTATGTGGAGAGCTTAATCAGAGTGAGGCAGAGACTGCTAGGAAAGCATAATCAGTGCCTAAACAGACAGGATGCCCCAAAGACCACACCCAGTCTTCCCCAAGCCACCAAATCAAAGATTAATCCAGAGTAATTCCTAAAATAACACTGATTAAATAAGAACTGGAGCAAGTACTGTTAAAGTGCTACATTAACCTGGTTAGGAAGGCTTTTGAATTCCTGATTCTATTTTAAAATCATCATCATGTGTTGGTGTAAAGGATTAGATGCTTTTATCCTACAGTCCTACTAGGTATTTGGTAACCAGCTTTCCTTAGCTAGCTTTTTCTTTAAATACTATTGTTAATAAACAAGATATTCCACAAACCTCTGGTTAACCTAAAACATGACCCTAAGCTAGCCATTTACCATACATCAAACCAGCCAACAAAAACCAACCTAAATGCGGTATCTTCCTGGATAAAAATTAAAAAAAAAAAAAGGCAACCTAAGGAAGTGAAAACAGTTGCGATTTATTTTATCCAGCTAAATTAGGTTTCTTTATGAGACAGTACCTTTTGGGATAGCATTCCAAATAGACTTTGAATAGCATTCTGCTCAGTAAATAACCAATATCAGTTTATTCTCATTCCGTTTGACGGACTTAGCAGACAAAAGCAGTTCTTACAAACTCTTTGTACGTTTGTGCCAGTGACCAGGAAGCTCCTTCTATAGTTTTCTCATAAGTGAAAAAGTATTCTGGTAACAGCAAGTCCAGTAAGTGCTAGGCAGAGTGACTTTTCATCTGATGCTAAGCCCTCCAAGTTTAGCTTTAAGTAAATTGAGAAGGGAAGAGAAGATAAAGGAGACGTACATTACATCAGCTGTTACTTACAGGTGTACTTTCTAGTACATGAAGTATTTTTTATAATTAATGTGTGCCATGTTTATTCCCATTTAGTCAAACTATAAATTGTATTTTAAATCATATATTTTTAGGATATGTATATATATATATATATAATATGTAAAATTCTACACCATTGAAGTTGGACTAGTGATTTATTTGAATGCTGAATCCTAGTATAGGAATATAATCTCAATAACATTGGTCCTCTATGGGGAAATAGGATCAACTCTGTTCCCCAGAAATTGTGATGAAAAACTTCAAAATAATTTCCTGAGTTTTCAGCTTGATTTACATGTAAAGTGAATTCCCTTAAAATTGGATTTAAAAAGGATTCTCCTTCAATGTGTCTTTATCTTCGAGCTTTAACAACTTTTCTGTTAAATATGTAGTTTCTTTATTAAACAATGTTATTAAATAAAAACATTTGTCCACTGGTTTTATTACTGTTCCAGTGATAAAACACATTTTCTACTTCATCACTTTCGTATTACCCCTCTTGCATCTAATTCACACGTGCAAATTAACTAGTTTTAATGCAGAAATTAGGATTTTATCATGCAGATACTTTAATATAAATCTCAATTTGTGAGCTGAAAATACAGAACGACTGAACAAGGAAAGCATGGTATCCAAGACATACTTGAAGACCTATTCTCTGGATGCAAAAACCCTAAGGCAATATATTCCTAAGGCTGATAAGAAGCTGGAAAGCAGGAAGGACATTAGTTCTTCCGTTAATTCCCCTCCTGCCACTGGTGTCCCAATTATCTAATTCAGGAGTAGGTAACTCCCACCTGATCTGTTTATTTTTACTTCTTATCATACCAGACAGTGGATGTGGCGTACTGCTTGTGGCTGTCCCTTCCAGAGTGAGGGCTTGAAGATATTAAAAGCTGAATGATACCTGATTTCATACTTTGAAATCCATATCCCTAGGTGACCATTAAGTTGGCCAACTAAGATTTCAGTCTACATTTTGTCTGCTTTGCTACGTAGACAATTACACAGGGTTACGTTACAGAAAGCAAGTTGAGATGGAAAAGACCTCTGAGGTGAAATTTAAGACCTGCTATGAACGCTAAATGAAGCCTACAATGCAAAACTAGAGAAAAAAACATTCCAGGCAGAGGCAAAAGTGAATGCAGATGCCTTAAGATGGCAAATAAACTTGGTAGGTTCAAGGATCAGAAAGGTATGTGTATAAAGTTTAGCTGGGGAATCGTCAGGGAACATGGGTGGAAGAAAGGAAGGTGAGGCTATTAAGGCTAGCAGGAGTTGTAAGCACAGAGGCCTAGGCCAAGGGCTTTTAGCAGGTGAATGAGGTCTGATTTACAATTTTAAAAACTACAGCTGTTATGTGGAGTATATCCAAGCCAAAAAAAAGTGGAAGGAAACCAATTAGGAAGATACTGTAGTCTAGGCAAGAGGTGATGATGGCTTAGATTGGAATAGCAGTAGGGTGAACAGATTCAAAATGTAATTGATGGTAGACAGGACTTGCTAATGGATTTGCTATGAGGAAAGAGAAAGGAATCAACATGAAGCTGGAGTCAATTTCTAAAATGTTCTCTTTTAAGGAGATGTGCAGAATATATTTTTTTATGTTTTGAGACAGGGTCTTGCTGTATCACACAAGCTAGACTGCAGTAGTGTCATCACAGCTCACTGCAGCCTCTCGACCTCCTGGGCCCAAGCAGACCTCCCATCTCAGCCTCCTGAGTAGCTGGGACTACTGGTACACACAATGCCCAGCTAATTTTATTTTTTGTAGAGATGAGGTTTCACCACATTGCCCAGCTTGGTCTAGAACTTCTGGGCTCAAGCGATCCTTCAGCCTCAACCTCCCAAAATGCTGGGAATACAGGCATGAGCCCCCATGCCCGGCCCCAGACATTGAGACATATTCATGATAAAAGAAACCCTACTCAATTTTATAGGTTGTATAGTATTTTACTGTATGATTACATCGCAATTTATCCATTCTGATAACAGGTAATTATTGTGTATTCGAGTAGGCTAACAAGAGACCCAAGAATGTACAATGTCTCAAAAGATGTTTATTTCTTGCTCACTTAACAGTCTCAGATACATGTTCCTGATTGGCAAGTGGCTGTCCTTCAGGAGGTGATTCAGAGAGTGTTCTTCCATCTCCTAGGGCCCCATCTTCATCTGCATTTAGCTGGAAGAAGGGTAAAGCTTGGACGTACACCCACTCAAAAGTTCTAGCCTGCAAGTGGCATTCATTACTCCACTCACTCTCCATGGGAAAGGAGTTAGCTGGCTTCTCCTTCACTATAGAGACTGGAGGGAAGGGGAACAACTGGGAAATATAGTCTAGCCATTTGTTCTATAATCCCATAACTTGCAAAGGTGAAAACAGATCTCCAATGTGTTTTCAGTGTTTCTCTACTGTATACTATACTGCAATAATCATTCCTTTTTGTGTCTCTTGGTATGCCTGAACAAGAGGACTTTCTCTGTATTTACCCAGGAAACTGCTAAGTCTTCAGGTACGTAGCTTCAACTTTGCTAGACATTGCCAAATAACTTTTGAAGTGATTGTATCAATTTGCATTTCATGCCATGTATGAAAGTTCATAATACTGTCAGACTTAGTTTATGTCAGTCTAATGAATTAAAAAAAAAAACTTTAAAAGCCAATACTATGATTAGAATAGTCTTATAGAGTCCTGCCAATCCCTGGTCTTGGTCAGGAAAAAGAAGAGGAATGCCTGCAAGGGGTCTCTGGATGAGACTGGGCAAGTTTCCTATACAAATTCACTTTAATCTCAAACTATTCATTTTAACCAGCATAGTTCAGGAACTAAATTACTACTGAGACAACTGCATGGAACTTATTTCAAACTCACCCCCATCTCTAGCCATCTTCTTACCCCCATACAATGTCAAGGAGACATGCAGCAGGTCGGCGTCAAAGAACACTGGAAACATCTTTCTGAGAGTCATTTATTTCTTTTGTCATTGCCAAACATTACCCAGGTCTTACTCACCAGAAATTAACATAGCTTCTTCATTTCTCCTCCCTGATAACCCTCATCTTCTGAAAGGGCTTTAAGGGCACACTGCCAATAAGAATGCAGAGTGGATACACCATGTCCTTAACTTGTTTCAAAACTACCTATTCTGGCAGTATCCAATTTCAGGTTTCAATGCTCCCTTGTTTGAAAGTGGTCTTCACAAAAGCCCACATTTTAAAGCTATTTGGAGCACAGAGAGTTAAAGTGGTAATAGCCTTTCAGAATTTGAAAAGGTAGTACTTGTCTGTATCAGGGTTCATTTTGTATGTGGCATATGCCACAAAATAGGCAAGAATATATAAGACCAATATTTATGCAAAAGGGGGAAGAGAATCCAGAAACACGACAACAATGCCTCTAACCAATGTTCCAGAGAAAGCCACTCTCAAAGAGAAATAACCCATTAAACATTACCAGGTAGGCATGAGGTACAGAAAAAGAATTTTTCTTTCCAGCTCCAGATAATATCTACATCTGGTGTCAAAGTCTCAGGATATAAAGAGGATAGAACGCCATATATAAAAGAGGACAGAGGACAATATTCTCAGAAAATTCAGACAGAGGTTGGCTAAGGGGATGGGTGAAAACTTAGTAGGATGTAGACTAACAAGTGAGGTAAAGTCCAGGGAGAAGGAATGCGCACCTTGGTTTTCCCTTAGTGACACTACCAGGAGCACTAGGAGACTGTCAGAATGTCAGGGACAATGTGATATTTCTCAATTCTTAACCAAAGAAGCAAAACTAAGCTTCAGAGGGCAACTGATCATAGCAATGGATGAGGCCTCAGGCTCCAGGAAAGTTGGGGCAGTATTTATTGCTGCTTTTGCTTTTTCTTTCCAGTCATTTTAATGTTTGGGACACATTACTCCTAAGGCTGCTTTTCACATCTGTGGGGCTAGTCACTGCTACTTGGTACAAACAAAGCATTTCCCAGTATAAACAGCATAGGGAAGTTCATCCTAAATCCATTTTCTTACTTTTTTACTTAAAACTATATTGAGAGGACAAATAGCCACCATAAAGTTTGTTTCCCAAGGAGACAGGGTAATCTTATTATATGAATGACAACAGTTCTAGCTTCTAGACTTGTTATATCACAAATACAAAATGATAAATCAGTTATGGTTTTAAAAAATTAGTTTGGAATGATTTCTCAAGCTAGATGATGGAGCAGCTACTAAATCAATGGAGCTTCCAAGAACATTCTATACCCCGGGAAGGAAAGGACAACCAAAGAGGTTTCTTACTTTTGTACAGGGCAAGAGGAGCCTATAGTTGGCCTTGAGAGGGAGCTCTTTGGGCAAGATCAGAAAAAAACAAGAGGACTCCACGAGGAATAGCAGGAAAACCTACTAAAAGGGGAGGGGGGAATCAAAGTGTAAGAAGGGAAGACTGAAATTTACACAGGAGGAAGGAGCTGAGAAAGTCACAGCCTTACACAAACAGCTGAAAGAATCTTCACTCAGTCCTCCCAGCACAGGTCCCCGTGACAACAGCATCACATCTGCTTTCCTAAGAGCGCTTTTACACTGACTGCCTATTTCCTTCCTCGTTTATGATTAGTCTTTGGGAGCTTTACTTTCTGGAACTGTGCTGGCACTGGCTCCTGCTCTGGTTCCTTACAGGAGGCTGACACTACCAGTTCCTCATTATTCCTCCTCTGATCCTTCCCTACTCTAAGACTCAGCTCTGTCTCGGGAAGCTCAATGCCAGGCTGCTGCCGCCTTCTTAGACACCTTCTGCTTCTGTGCTGCTGCCTCCGCTTTTCTTCTTCTTGCTGCCGCTGCTTTATCTTCATCAGCTTTTCAAAGCTTTTGGTTGTTGTTGGGTTTACAACGAACCAATCCTAGAGAGGCAAAATAGAAACATCATCCAGTCGAAAATATAGTGAAGAACATAAAGAAAGGTGGAGGAAGAAAGGAAAAATGGCATGATTAGGGCAGAACACAGTAAGAAGGAAACAGATATGGAACCATACCTCAGGATTCTATATTTTAAACTGGAGAAATCAATACAGAGCAGCTATTATAAGCACATATTTTGTAAGGTATAATTCTAGGTACTTTAATAAATGATCTACAGTCTGTTTACTTAGCATTATCCCACTCTTGTACCTCCTGCAGTATAAATCTCATCATGAGATATAACACACTGAGCCATAGGAGATTTTTATTTCATGATGGCGTCATAACAAAGAGCATGAATTCTGCAGCCAGACCTCCTGAGTACAAATCCCAGCTCTGTTTCTAAATATGTGACCATGGGCAAATTACTTAACATTTTTGAGGCTCACTTTAAAAAATTAAGGGGTAGGGGACACGAATCCAATTATAAAGTATTTTTGCCAAAAAAGAAAGAACTTCAATCTTATCAAGTGATCTGT